TGTCACAATTGTGCTTCCAATCACACCTCTAGTGGTTCCATGATGGAATTTCTGTCAAACAACCCTAGTGCCAAGAACTTGCAAGTTCTTCAATGTTGTAAACAAGGATGTGCTTCGATGCATGGCCGTTTTGAGGAGATTACATACCAAGCCGATGAGTCTGAGCATCATGTGACAGAGGGTGCACCAAATGAATCAAGCCAATCGGACTGCCTTCATTACCAAGAAATTTGGGGACAGCACGAAAGTCGCGAACTTAGTTCAATAGGCTCTGGACAGAGTCATTCTGATGGAGAATATGAAAAATTGGATCAGTTAGTCACGGTTGAGGATGAGCAAGATCTTGAATTGGAAAGCAATCCTGCATCCCATGCAGGAAATTCTACAAAAAATTTATCCGGTTCACATTCTTTTTCTATGATCCCTTCAACTTACCATGAACTCTCAGACACTCATGAGAATGAAATTCAGGAGTTTAGATGGCTCAAAGCAAAGCACCAAATGGAGCTGAGGGAACTTAGAGATCAGCAGATAAGACTTGTCTCAAAATCTTCAGATAATGGAAGTAAAGAACACGAATTAGCTAATGGGGTCTTGTCATCTTTGGTATCAAGCACATTACAAGGACTCAACAATGTGATGCTCTCAAAATCTTGTGCTTATGATCAAAGAAATTTAAGTCCCAATTTCCATGCTAATCTCAATAAGAGCTGCGAGGCGATGGAGTCTCCTAATGCTGAGGATGAGGTCACTGCCAAGAGTTTCTGCACAGGATCATTGCTTCCTCAGTCTCTTCGCAGGACAGTTTCTCTCCCAGTTGATGCAGTTGATGTATAAACTTGCCAGGCACAAAATGTATTCTTTTAGACAAGTTCAATACACTTGCATAAGCTCTATCTTTGTATGGTTACCAAGGTCATCCCTTTTTCTCCAATGGGATGTGGCTCTCCGGGAAACTGGGATGATGTGTAATGTATTTAGTAATCATGCGTAATTATATATACGAGGGGAAAATGCAAGTTTTGAGGCCTATAAAGATTCTAGTCAAGTCCTTAATATTACACAT